CGTCGACATTATTGCGCCACAATATACATTGGAGAATATTATCAGGATATTTAACCTTAACGCACCGATACATTTTGCATATATCCCCAGTGGGAGCAATATTAAATATCAAAAAGATTTGGCTGTATATTTGGCCCACACATAAGTATATCGTTGAGTGAAACTCCAGTTGAAGTTTTAGTTCTTTAATAAATGAACTATATTGAGATTTTAGCTCTGGAGACTGATTTAAACGTTTTTCAAAATTTTTAAATCGACGGAGGGCACTTCTGTACGAATTACCAACGGTTTGTGGGCTTGTTTTAAATGGTAAACGAACAACAAATTCGCCAGAACTCAGATTGTAGGTTTTTACAAAATAATTTTCACATTCTTTTTCTTCCTTCGTTATCTTTGAAGCAACATCCATATTATTTTCAATTTCCCAAAATCGACGAATTAAATAATCCAGATTATTTTCGTAAGTATTGTTTTCATTAACTACAACACTCATGAGACAACTATTCCTTCTCTGTAGTTGAATTCCTCCACCAGCAACAACCCAACCAAATTCAGTTTTTTGCAGAAGTGGCAACCCTGGCCCAATATGAATTTTTCCTCAAAAAATAAGTCTCCACCTATCAGCAGATCAACTTGCTGTGATTTAAAAAAGAGTGGATCTGCCATTTGAACGTTAATGGGAATGTTCCATTTAGAGACATCTATTGAAAAAGGTGGCTGGTTGTCTACAATGGCTGATACTACAACGGATGATAAATAGGCTGATGCATTTGAAGTTCGTGATTGAATGAAAATGCTAACAATTTTTCCAGAAGCAAAATTCGACTGACCAATACCTGATACAAGTGTTGTTGAACGTGTGGGTTTAAGATGTAACTTATTCACAAAATTTGTTGTTATAAAGTTAGCTTGTGAGGCAGAGTCGAGAATAGCTCTGCATGGAATAAGTGAACCGACACTATTTTTAGCAAAAACTATAGCGGTGGCCAATATTGTTGTTGTTGGGTCATGTTCCTTTTTAGGTGTACAATTTGAAACTATTAGTGACGACTGAGGCAAAGAATTTGTTGAGGTTATATTATTAGCCGCAGCTGAAGCGGATGACACTAAATTTGGGTTGGAAGGAGCATTTCATCACATTCATCACATTCGGTTGAAGTAGGCAAAATATTTTGTTGTGAGTTGGGTAAAGCTTCCATATGAAGCAAACTATTATGTTTTAATGAACAGTGTCGACAACCACTTGAAACACATTCCTTAACGGCATGGCCTTTTCTAAGGCAATTTATGCATAAATTTAGACTTTTAACGTCCCTGAATCTCAAAGATGGTGTTTTCGAAAGAAATCGAGGACAACTATAAATTGCATGAGATTGAGAGTTGCAAATAGGACAAACCTTTTGTGTATTAGTCGAAACAACTAATGATTTTTACTTTTGATAGTGTGTTGATATAATTTAGATCCCACCTGTTTATTTGATGATTCATTTGCAACTGCACTCTCCACATTTTCCATAGTTTGACACCTTGTTTGCAAAAATCTTGCCATAAGCTCCCATGTTGGTATTTCGTTTGCAGGTGTAGTCTCTTCCCATTTAGTTTGTGTTGCAATATCAAGCTTACTTCCAATTATATGAATCAGCAAGCAATCAGCAATTTGCTCTTTAGTACCCATGGCTAACAAAGCTCTTAAATGAGAATTTACACTGTCACTTAGATGTCTTCAGAAGAGCTTATAAACGAAATTCAGGATTGGAGAGTTTCGGACGAGCACTCCTTTTCTGATCATCGGTACATAAGATTCAAAATACTAAGGCCACCACCAAAGCCGATAAAGTTTCGGAATAAGTCTAAAACTAATTGGACAATGTTCGGGGCCTTACTAAAGAACCGTTTAGGTCAGGACACTTTTCAATGTCGAAATAAAGAGGATATAGATGCCAAAGTGGAAACGTTCACAAGTGCCCTGGTTGAATCGTTCGAGGACAGCTGCCCTCTGCGAGAGCGGAGATCTGCCCAGGAAAAACCCTGGGTAACTGGGGAGATCCGGAACCTTGGGAAGACTCTTAGCAAACTATTTAACCGGGCACGGCGTAAAAAGACCGCAGTATACTGGGATGAGTATCGTAATAAACTTGGTGAATATAAGAAAATCGTTCGAAGAGCCAAACGAGACTCCTGGAAACTTTTCTGTGAACAGGTAGATAGCGTAAATGAGGTATCGAAGATAAAAAAATTCCTATCCAAAACTCATGTCCAACCGGAATCTATGATCGATGACACGGGCAGGAGGCTTGAGGATATGGAGGAGACAATGAAACTCCTAATGGATTCTCATTTCCCACCCGGTATATCGAATAACATAGATGAACCGATATTGGAGGAAGGGGAGGGTAACACGGAAATAGTTATTACAACTGACATGGTTAAAGGGGCAATCAAGAGCTTTGCTCCCTATAAAGCTGCAGGGCCGGATGGAATTTTCCCGGCACTTTTGCAGATGGAGGCGGGACTGGTTTCCGTACATCTGTCACAGATATTCACTGCATGCTTAAAATTGGCATATACCCCAGTTAAATGGCAGGATGCAAGGGTAATATTTATACCCAAACCAGGGAAACCTAGCTATGCGACACCTAAGTCCTATCGACCGATAAGTCTTACGTCCTTCCTACTTAAAACCTTGGAACGGATAGTCGATAGCATGGTTAAAAGCAGCATACCATACAATGACCTTAAATATAAGCAGCATGCTTATGTAAAGGGACGATCGGTGGAGACCGCTTTAAATGAAGTTGTCCACTACATAAGTGAATCTTTCGATAGCAAACTGTATACACTGGCAGTATGCATTGACATCGAAGGCGCTTTCAATAACGTGCACACTGATACCCTTATCCAATCCCTAGACCAGTTTTATGTTGACCGGGTGCTCCGTAACTGGATCAACTACATGCTAAGGAACAGATGGATAAGCTGCGAGATGTACGATATAACTATCAGGAAAAAGGTATTTCGCGGTATACCACAGGGTGGCATTTTGTCACCTTTACTCTGGGTCACCACGATTAATAGCCTCCTAAGGACCCTAACCGAGAAAGGACTTAGACCTGTCTGCTATGCAGACGATGTCGTAATACTTTTAAAGGGAAAGGATCCAAATTACTTGTGTAGAAGAGCTGAGGAGGCTCTGAATACGGCCTTGAGCTGGGCTCAACCGAGAGGCCTCAATGTTAACCCGGCGAAGACGGAAATCTGTCTTTTCACAAGAAAGACAAAAATTTCTACATATACTGAACCTTGCTTCTTGGGCAAGAAGATACCGGTGACAGACAAAGTTAAGTACTTAGGTGTAATACTTGACCGGAAATTAAAATGGAGACACCACATAGAGGATAGGATCAACAAGGCACATCGGTGCTGGGCGATATGTAGGAGAACCATAGGCATGAAATGGGGTCTTAGTCCTACTATGACAAATTGGCTTTATAAAAGTGTAATTAGACCAATTCTAGCTTATGCTTCAATAATCTGGTGGACTGCTTTGGACAAAAAGTGTAATATCAAACTACTACAGGGAGTTCAGCGTACATGCTGCTTGGGTATAAGTGGTGCCATGTGTACTACTTCAACCAAGGCTCTGGAAACGTTGCTAGATATTCCACCCATTGAAACATATATAAGATATGAGGCGGCGCTTACAGCCGAACGGCTCTTTACTTTAGGCGAACTGGCCAAAAACGGTTATAGGACACGTCATCAATGTATACTGGACACATTGGAAGGTTATACACATTCATCGGACGTGCCTGATCGCATACCAGACACTGAATATGTCGGAAACTTTGAAACGCTAATCCCAGATAGAATGTCTTGGTCAAGCGGAACATTAGAGCAAATACCAGTAGGAATCCGTTGCTACACGGATGGCTCTAAATTAGGGGACAAAGTGGGTCTGGGGTTCTATATTGAAGACCCAGAAACAGAAATATACCACCGTTTACCTAATCATAACACAAGCTTCCAGGCAGAAGTACGAGCAATAACGGAATGTGTAAATTGGATTAGAATAAATATGGCGCCCACAGGGCTTAATATATTTACCGACAGCCAGAAGGCAATTTGTGCGATATCAGGTGATAGAATTAAATCTAAGACCGTATTGGATTGTAAGAAAGCTTTAACTGAATACTCTCCCAGAGGTAAGGTTCACATCATATGGGTACCAGGCCACTCGGGAGTAATCGGCAACGAAAGGGCGAATGTAATAGCTTTAAAGGGAAGGGAGCTCGATGTAGTTAACCTGACAAACGCAAAACCATTCGACGCAACAAAAGCTGAATTAAAAATATGGATGAGAGAATCCCATAAGGCCTCTTGGAATAATGAAACGGTGGGTAGAACCACAAAGATTCTATGGGGTGACCCTGATGAGAGCAAGACGAGAAATCTTCTCAAAATGAGCAAGTCTGAGGTTAGTATGATGGTACGTATTCTCAGTGGACACACAGGATTACGAGCACATCTATACAAAATTGGACGTGCGAATTCAGACGAATGTAGAGCATGTGGAGAGGACAGTGAAACTCTGGAGCACTTTCTTTGCCATTGTCAGGCATTCGTCGAAGTTAGATCCAAGTATCTTGGAAGTGATGTTATTCCAGAAATAACATTCTTAACCAACACCGATTGGAAGATTCTTAGGAATTACGTCCAGGAAACTGAGTTTCTGAACATGGAAAAATAATACATTCAGTGAACAATTTTTTTTTTTTTTTTTTTTTTTTTTTTTTTTTCTTGAATTGGAGCGCACAACAGGCCCGATAGTGGCCTAGGTGTATTTCTTCGGATTTGATGTAGTATACATCCTCCTATCAACCTACCTACCTACCTACCTAGATGTCTCAACTTTCCAACAGATCCAACATCCACATTGCCCAATGCCACAATATCCCTTATATGTCCCAGAAAATTTAAACGTTTATTATCAAATCGACTTTTTAAAATTTCAATAGCTTTATCGTAGTTAGTTCACTAATTTCCAACGAATGAATAGAATCCAATGCTGGACCAGCGAGACACGTTTTAAGATGTTGAAATTTTTCAATTTTGGATAGGTCGTCATCATTATCAATAACAGTTTCAAACATTGAAAAGAAATCTGGCCAATCACTATAAATGCCATTGAATGTTGGAATTTGTATAATTGGCAGACTCGTTTTTTGTATTGGTAACAAAAATGATGGCTGCGGTTCATTCATTGTAGACTGTCTTAATAGTGTTGGATTTTGGTGAATTGGTTTCGATCGAAATGCCATTATTTTTCGCGTCAGAGTCGACTTGATTGTCATATATATTGCAGAGACTTCTGTCGGTAAATTGCTTTCCATTTCATGATAATTTTCTCGTTCTAGACGATCATGTACGACTTCAAAATCCGAATACAATTTGTCCAGCAATTCCACCTTGACAGATAAGGCAACTTCATCATAAGTATCAATGTCAGGATGCTGTACCTCTTCCTCCATAGCAAGTAATCTTTCTTTTAATTTGATTGACTTGCGTTTATTGAAAGTTTCCTCTATTTGTTCAACACTCATAACTGTAGTTTATTCAATCACGTCGGGGTCACCAAATTTTATGTTGATCTTAAGACCTTTACCATGTATTATTTTCAAATGTAGATTTAATTTGTTTAAAGAAAAACACTTTATAATTTTGTCGTATGTATATTGAAATTGACAAATTTTATATTTTTACAAATGAAAGACGGTATGTAAAACAACGACAAATGTATAAGCAACGATAAAACAAAAAATTATGATTAAATTTAATGAGGGAAATCAATTTATATAAAACTGAGAAAACGTTTAAAACCGTTAAACAAATTTCTGCAAAGCAAAATATATCAGCAAGA